GTAGACATGTTCTCCCTCCAGTACAGTGTACATTGTACTAAGTGTTAACGTAGACATGTTCTCCCTCCAGTACAGTGTACATTGTACTAAGTGTTAACGTAGACATGTTCTCCCTCCAGTACAGTGTACATTGTACTAAGTGTTAATGTAGACATGTTCTCCCTCCAGTACAGTGTACATTGTACTAAGTGTTAACGTAGACATGTTCTCCCTCCAGTACAGTGTACATTGTACTAAGTGTTAATGTAGACATGTTCTCCCTCCAGTACAGTGTACATTGTACTAAGTGTTAACGTAGACATGTTCTCCCTCCAGTACAGTGTACATTGTACTAAGTGTTAACGTAGACATGTTCTCCCTCCAGTACAGTGTACATTGTACTAAGTGTTAATGTAGACATGTTCTCCCTCCAGTACAGTGTACATTTCGGAGGGATTTTCTCGTCGGTTGACGTCAAGGCTTTCGTACGTTGCAGGGGTCGGCGTCATGACATCGTCAACATTTTTCGTTTCTCGTATCAGGGCGAGACGTCTACAAAATGTAAAGACAAGATTAGGGTGTACATTTCTAGACGTGTACATGTAGTTTTTTTTTTTTTTTTTTTTTTTTTACCAACGAACACATTTTCAAGAAATGAAAATCGGACAGTTTTTGCCCCTTTTCACATTTTGTTGTAAAACGTTTAGATATGCATCCAAAACATCTATAAGAGATCGTAAAACCATTTGTTTAGAAATGTTCAGTAATGAGACGCCACGTTTAAGAATTAGTTGTCCAGTATAAGGATGGAAATAAATATAAAACGTATTTTGTGTAGTGACAATAGTGAGTCAACACGCAGTACGTATTGGACTTCACATTGTTAAAGAAGTGTAATTGACGAAATACCAAAATATAATACCGAATTCTACCCCCACTAATCCACATAAAAAGATGTCCATGTGCCGTATAAACTGACAGATAGCTTACATGATACAATAGCAACCATTCTTAAATATTTACCATCGTATGGCATTGCCACTACGTATATAACCCTACCAATTTAAGTTGACATTCATATAGGCTATGAATGCCTGGACCGATTGTTGACGTCATCATTATTGTGACGTCATAATTGTTACGTTGGATACCAATGACCCTCACTTGGCGATGGCTTTTCTATTTATTGAGCAAGGATACACGATACATACATTATTTAAACTATTGCTGAATAATAGTAAATGCAATCAAATTTTCTATGAGATTAACAGATTCCAAAAATCGTAAATGTAAGTATTGAACTGCTTTCAGTAAGCATTCATAGCCAAAATGAATTCCAACTTGACAAAGGCAAATCTAACATGAAGCGCTAGCGCGCTTCATTGAATTTGCCGTTGTCCAGTTGGCATTCATATTGCCTAGGAATGCCGACTGAAAGCAGTTCAATGCTTAAATATAAATTTGTATCTTTGTAACGATATTTAACGTTTGTATGAAATCAATACTTCCTATGTCTCGTGCTGATACTCAACATCTATATAACATCAACATTTCCAATATGACGTGACACAAGTTGTGTATACATATCCTCGTTACTAACCGTCTGTACAGAATCACGTTGGCCCCGGTCGCCAGTAGCACCCCCTGTAAGGTTACCACACTATGACGTGGCACAAGTTGTGTATACATAACCTCGTTACTTACCGTCTGTACAGAATCAGGTTGGCCCCGGTAGTCAGTAGCACCACCAGTAAGGTTACCACAATATGACGTGATACAAGTTGTGTTTACAAATCCTCGTTACTTATCGTCTGTACAGAATCACGTTGGCCCCGGTCGCCAGTAGCACCACCAGTAAGGGTACCACAATATGACGTGATACAAGTTGTGTTAACATATCCTCGTTACTAACCGTCTGTACAGAATCACGTTGGCCCCGGTCGCCAGTAGCACCCCCTGTAAGGTTACCACACTATGACGTGGCACAAGTTGTGTATACATAACCTCGTTACTTACCGTCTGTACAGAATCAGGTTGGCCCCGGTAGTCAGTAGCACCCCCAGTAAGGTTACCACAATATGACGTGATACAAGTTGTGTTTACATATCCTCGTTACTTACCGTCTGTACAAAACCACGTAGGCCCCGGTCGCCAGTAGCACCACCAGTAAGGTTACCACAATATGACGTAATACAAGTTGTGTTTACAAATCCTCGTTACTTATCGTCTGTACAGAATCACGTAGGCCCCGGTCGCCAGTAGCACCACCAGTAAGGTTACCACAATATGACGTGATACAAGTTGTGTTTACATATCCTCGTTACTTACCGTCTGTACAGAACCACGTTGGCCCCGGTCGCCAATAGCACCACCAGTAAGGTTACCACAATAGGGACAACAACGGCGACTGTAACATAACCATAAACGTCATGTTTACTAGTGTACGGAACCATCCTTAGTTATAGCATGTGTTTGATTGTCCAGAACATATTTGTAAAGTTGTAAGTAAAATAGAGAATATACATGTATCTTGTCTTTTACGAGCAAAATATGAATTCTAAGTCTTAAAAATGAATCAACCACAAGAACAAAGCAGAAACCAAAACGTAAGGGAAGCCATCCTGAACCCCGTAAAGAAACGGGTGATGAAACTAAGTTCTAGGTCCTGAATCCTATGGTAACACGTCATGTTAGAAAATCGTTTTAAGAAAGAACTCCTAATAACCGAATAATGCATCCAAAATACGTTTATAGAGCAAGTAGTTTATATATGTATATATATGGAATAGAATACGTACCGTATGGGAATGAGTATGGTGGACAAGAGGGTGATGACACCGTTGTAATGATTGTCCCGGAAGTAGACGGTACTGTGACGTGTGACGTGCTCGTCCCAGTAAAGATGTTTGTTGTTGGTATAACAGTTGTTCCTGTGGTAGTGTCTGTGGACGTTACGGTAGGGAGAGTGACGGATGTTTCTCTATTAGTTGTAGTTGTGAAGGGTGATGTTGTCGTAGTAAAGAGTTCTGTTGTAGTTGTGATGGGTTGAGTTGTGGTTGTGAAGGGTTCAGTAGTTGTAGTTGTGATGGGTTGAGTTGTGGTTGTGAACGGTTCAGTTGTTGTGTAGACGGATGTCGATGTGCTGGTTTGTGTTGTAAATGCGTTCGTTGTAGTTGAGCTTGATGATACGACCGATGCTAAAACGTAAAGATTATATGTATTAGAAGTTGATTATGTCAGATTGTTGATCCTTATATTGTATCTGGCTGCCTGTCTCATCCAAATTCAGTGTTGTCGCTTAAGCGAACATTCTTAACAGATGAAACACTGTTGCAGGACGTCAAGGTGAACGTCAGTGCCACCGTTACTTTTTGGAGGGGAGCAGGGACATTCACATCTTACAGACATTTCCCAGTTTTGGTTTAATATTATTTCGTACAAAATTAACACAGTGATATATTTGAAAGGCCGAAGATGAAAAGGACCTATTGTAATATAGAACCAATATACAAGTATTTCAACAAATGTCATCAGTTTTCAAATTGACCCACAAGTGTGTTCAGTCCATGCAGTCGACATTGTTTGTTTTACTTATGAGAAGTTCCCTTTACACAGCCAATACAATTGTCTATGTGACGTTTCGATGACTAGTACGGTATGTACACTGTCACGTTCATCAGATAAATAACCAATGAAGCGTATTCACACAAGGGTGTAAAATGTGTACGAGGTGTCCATAAAATCGATGTCCAGTTGTTATATATATATGTAACGAAATGACTCAATTCAGCTACCAAGTGTTAACAAAGCGTAGCTGAATGGAGTCATTTCGGTACATATACAACAACTCGTAGCCGAAATCGACATCGATTTTATGGACAACTCGTACACATTTTACACCTTTGTGTGCATACGCTTCACTGGTCATTTGTCTGATGAAGGTGACAGTGTACATAACGTACTAGTCATCGAAACGTCACATAGAAAATGTTAATGGTTGTGTAAAAAAAAAACTTCTCATAATTCATATACTTACCAACCTGAAGGAATGTTTAATAGACATGTTTATTTTGCTGTTTTGTACATACCTCTGTATACAGTGATAGCCGTCCAAACCGAGACAGTGTCCCATAGCTTCATTGTCTGTAGTATAGTTTGTATAAAGTTGATGTGTTGTACAGACGTGTTCCCTCCCTACATACGCTGTATATACAGTAATTCCAATACCCGACGCACACTGTACATACTTTATTCAAAAGTGATAACTCGATATTTTACTTCCCGGTACATATATGAGCTATAGTTTGTAAGAAGGGAATCTATTTATAAAACACATAAATCGGGGTAGGATTGTGTCTGATGATCAACGTGTTGCCTACTGGAGCGTGTAATATCGGGAGGAGAAGGTGGTGTATACTGTCTCGTTACGGGACGGTACCATCACACACACTATACAACAAATACCCAACTACCGTGACCCGGTGTATACTGTCTCGTTACGGGACAGTACCATCACACACACTATACAACAAAAGAATACACCACAAAGATGGTGATAGAAAGTGATGATAGTACTAAAGGATGAACGCCTTAGGCATAACGACACACAATATTTAATAATCCTAATCGTTCGGATAAGGGGTGGGGTCATTTCGTGAAACCTTGAGACCACAAGTACAAATTCTTATAGTACCAGTAGGTATATTACATAATAAAGGGCCTTTACACACGTTAGAAGGTGTCTATTTGAGGAAATCATTTTCGTATCCTTTACAATACATTCCTGGACTTATTTTATTTCGTGGAATGTTAAAAAGAAATGTTTATGTTATAGAAGTAGGACGTTATTACGTCTGTAAATATGTGTTTATTTACCCCGTATTTTTAGCGATCATTTCATACATTCCATCATAAAATTGAACCAGTAATTATTCAGTAATATTAGATGAAGAATCCATTTGTTGGTGGTAACTTGTCGTTGGCTTCAATGCATGAAAGATGTTAATTAAAGAAGTGAGAAACATTATCAAGCACATTTTATTCATTATTATTATAATATTTTATATTCTCATTTAACTTACCTGTTTAAATGTATTACCTATACTGCTGAATTCTAACGCTATGCGCTAGATGTTAACATTATCTCCCCTGCGTAAGACCTCTGTGAAAGCGACGTCTCGCTCCGATGACGTTGAATAGACTTTATATTCATGTATATAATACCGACGTGAAACCTGTTTTGAAATCTATTTTTAGGCTTCGTTCTGGTACTAAAATGTCTGTGTGGTTTGTAAACAATGCTAGGGACGCATTATCTTAAACAACTTGCTGTTCATATTGTGTAAAAATAGAGCGAGGAAAGTGATCGTAGAGGTGTCATGTGGGACGGGAGGGAAACATCATATAAACGTTTATATATATTGGTAGTGACGTGCTTCTATCATCAAGGTAAGTACAAACAGGAAGTATTGTGTTATGTTTATTGTCGTTTTAATCTTGGGACTTTTCTAAAGTTGTAAAACATTTCGTTCGGTTGCTTTACACCAATTTACCATAGATATTTTAAAATCAAGCTAAACAGGAATTTCCCCTGAGTAGACATTGAGTTGTGTAGCTGCTGGCTCCGGTAAAATTATACTTCCGGGGTCATCGTTTTGTTATTTTATAGAATATAATTTTCTTGAGCAGTTCCATTAAAATTAATGAGTTTTGTTAACTGAAGTGATATATTGTACTGTGTAAATGTCCTCAAAACCCATACATTTATTGAAAAATAAACTGATTAGCTGATGAAAGTGTGTTATCATTTCTTTCAGGCATCAACTCAACTATATGCACTGATAAAGCTAATTCGGACGGTTTCACTAACGGTATGATACTCGACCAATGTATGTCAATGTTGGCTGTGTTAGGCCATGTTTTTTGTTTGTTTAAAGTGTGGTATACTATTTGCGTGCTCATTCTACACGCACTATATGAAGTTTCAAATTGATAGATACTTTTGATAATTTAATTGTTAAAAAGATAGCGTAGTAAACACATTATGTTTCTATGATAACAGATTACCGATAAGAAGTACAAGAACACAACCATTTCTAAGAGATAACACACTAGGTTTTACTTTACGTTGTTTTAAAACGAAGTAACGTTAGCTCAGTACTTACGACGTTAAAAACAACGAGTTATAATCACAAAACATTAAAGGATGCATCACAGATACCATAGGGTAAACATTCAAAATGCCAAACGTGAAGCTGCTCGCATTTGCTGTGAATTCGGTGTGTGCTATTGCACACCGTCACAACATGTAGTTGGGAACTGCTCTTAGCTCCCGAAATCTATAAGACTATGCGGAGGAAAATCACTCACGTGTTATCAGCTGGATGTCAATGCAAGATGTAAAGAAACCGCGCCGAGATGTCACGTCGAGGTTGTCGGCGGGGTTATTGGTCTAAGGGAGATAACTCTCCCCAAAATTCACCACACATTATACCAGGACTTCCTTTTATACCCCTATTAATACTTTTTATTACGAAACTGGTCTATGAACTCTATTTAATCGAAGGAAACGAGGGAAAACTTCAACTATTGTATAAGATGCATAATAAAATATTAATTTCTGTATGATAACCTATACTTCAACCATCTTTTACCGCATTTAACTGGAAAAAACACGTTATGCCTTACGTAACAATAATACCTATAGGATTCCTCCTTTCAGATTATCTCTTACTAACTCTTCTTTTATACCTTCTACTCTTCAAAGTTGGAATAAATTAGAAAACTCGGTTCCATCCTTGCCCGCTATAAATTGATTCAAAACCTGTTTAATCAATTACACCTATCTACTTTTAATTCGTAAATCGTAAAACTTGATATTTTGCACACTAAGCTCAGACATCAGTGAAGCTCCCTTAATTATGACCTCTTTAGAGTTAACCTTGTTGAGAGTACAGCTTGTAATTGTGGGCATCCTTGTAAGAATGTCTTTCACCACTTTTTGGAATGTCACATTTTTACAAACGACAGACGTACTCTGGTTCAAGACTTAAATAATTTAAATATTGCGTTCAATTTAGAAATAATTTTGTTTGGCAATTCTCAATTTTCTATGAACATTTACAGAAACATTTTTAGATGTATGCAAAACTTTATTAAATCTAGCAAGAGATTTTGAGTTCAAATTGTATTTACAATTGTAAATACTTGTTGTCACTTTTGTAATGTCATTGAAAATGTACATAGGGAGAAGGCGTTGACGAGCTGTAATAACTTGTGTCCAATCCCTTTGTCCACTTTTGGCAAGATATATGTTTACAATAAAAAATGCATTCAAAGTCATCTACACGTAAAGCCCAGGCAACATATTAACATAATATAAAGAAATGAAATAGGTAAATATGCATGTACACATGGCGAAAACATGTACAAGCTTAAATAGCATAATCTACAAAAACGAGGTATACATTGTTTCGATACAGTATGTTACTATATAACAAACATTGATAGTTATCAACATGATAGTTATTAACATGATAGTTATTAACATGATAGTTATCAATATGATAGTTATTAACATGATGGTTATCAACATGATAGTTATCAACATGATAGTTATGAGTACTTGATACATAACCAGTGCGTTACTAGAATATTATATGGTTTACATGCATATTTAGAATATTCTAAAGAATTATAATACTGAGGATAATTACAAAAAACACTATCTTTATATGGTGTCCAGTTAGGGTCAAATATCAATGTTCCCTCGCCGCTGCATTCTCGCTCCTTCGTACCCTAACATTTAAATCGAGGTAGTAAATTTTAAAGCCCAAACGAACATCCTACTTTTATGAATCAATGCATTCGCTATAATGTGGTACATTTGGTATTACAGTGTTGCCGATGTGTAGGAATGGATCACTGACATCTGGACGTGTGGTGGTAGATACGTACGACACAGGAGTGTTAGACTACGACAGTTGTCGATGTACAGTTAGTCTTAGTGGGACTAACACAGGTCCTGTCAACTTACAAACTGGACCTTATTCTCGAACAGCACCGGCGTCTGATTGTGGAAGCATCCTTAGATTTAACAGACATCCGACTAATACTTATACTGAATATCAATGCACACGGATTACTGGTGATATCATCAGTGATTTTGCCAGCAGTGAACTGTTAAATATAACTTTATCCAAAGTCAATAACAACATACAGTGGCAATCTGGGTACTGTATACTTATTAGAACAGGTGAGTGAAGTAAATCCATTTACTGTGATATAATCCTGTTCATTATACTACAATAATGTTGTAGTTAAACCACACACGTGGTAACATTATTTTAAACGACAAAATAAACACAACTGCTTAGTACTAGTATCAAATTTAATGCCTCAGGGAATTGTTAAACAAAACAATCATATGACGTTGCACCTATTCGATTAACACAATGACATTTAGGAAACACGATGAATCGTTATGATATTTTAAAAAAGTAATGGTAACTTGTATAGGTTCTCAAATCAGACTGAAGCAGCTAGTTCTCTAGGTTATGGAAACGTGTTGTCGTTCCAGGTGTAAATATAACGGTTACGTGTGATGACGCGGGCGAATTGGGGGCTTCTTCTGCTTCGACCCCTACAACGAAAACGACCCCTGCAACGACGACGATAACGACCCCTAGCTCCAGTTCAGTGCAGACCGTTACAAACATTACAGACAATGGTGGTGATGTAAATGGCGGATACAACTACGTAAAGGATAAGTCAATAGGAAGTATGTAATAACTACTGATATAGGCAATAGGTAGTATGTAATACCTACTGATATAGGCAATAGGGAGTATGTAATACCTACTGATATAGGCAATAGGAAGTATGTAATAACTACTGATATAGGCAATAGGTAGTATGTCATACCTACTGATATAGGCAATAGGTAGTATGTAATACCTACTGATATAGACAATAGGTAGTATGTAATACCTACTGATAAAGGCAATAGGAAATATATAATACCTACTGATATAGGCAATAGGAAATATGTAATACCTACTGATATAGGCAATAGGGAATATATTATAATTACTGATACAGGAAATAGGTAGTATGTAACATCTTTGATATATTCTGTAGGAAATATGTAATAACTACTGATATAGGCAATAGGTAGTATGTAATACCTACTGATAAAGGCAATAGGAAATATATAATACCTACTGATATAGGCAATAGGAAATATGTAATACCTACTGATATAGGCAATAGGAAGTATGTAATAACTACTGATATAGGCAATAGGAAATATGTAATACCTACTGATATACTAACAGGAAAAAAACTTAGCGTTCATGTAAATAACAAAATACGAAGTTATTATATATTATTCGTCATGAAACTTTACACAAACTCATTAACAACCTTCACGAGTGAATGCGTTTTGTGTGCGTGCAAATTTCGTCCTTTGCACGTGCATAACTTCGATTTTAGGAGATAGCATGACAGTTTTTCATTCTCTTCACCAACCTTGTTACTGTCTGTAGATTTTAGTATCCAAGACAAACGGAAAACAAATATTCTGGTGAACGTGTTTGGTAAGCTTTGCTTCTAATGAGTGTAAATGTCAGAAACCAAGCGGTTATAATGATTCAGGCTGTTAAAATGATGTTGCTAGACGTTTTTGTGTGCATCATACCACTATTCATGCCTTGTGGAGACGTTTAAAATTGTCTGCTAACACAAGGGACCGCCCAAGGTGAGGACGTCCGCGTGTGACGTCAGTACGTCAGTACGTTTACATCTGGGTTGTACAAATGTGGAACCACTTCATAACTGCAGGTTTGAATGTAAAAAGGTGAATACATGGATAACGGAGAATCAAACCAAGAACTGTTAGCAATCGCCTGCATGGACGGAACAATCGTTCAGTTTCCAGTTATTCGCTTTGTTCTTCAAAAACGTCATCTTCAGTGTTGCAAGTCTTGGATTACAAGGTGCAGGAAAAAACCCGCTTTACTAAACGGGATTCGGCGCGTATCTTGCTCTCGGACGAGTAATGGTTTCACTTCGACAGAAGTGACGACCAGAGTGATATGGTCACGTACTTTTCCAAAACTGCTGTTGATCTCTGTGGCCTTGGTGCAATGTGTGCGTAATTTGGTGTTCGTTTGACAACTTTGGGTGAATCGGTCTTAAATGAAATGTAATGTTTGTTACAATTCTGAAAGAAAATGTTTCTGTACGTTTTACAGTTATTGCTTTGTATTTTACTGTTATTTATACACAGTTTCTATTTTCTGCTGGTTTAAATTGTAAGACGATTCTGACAGAACATACTGATTGTATAAGAATACTGACCATGTTTGGCTTTTGAAGCTATGTAACGCTAGAGTTTAACAAAGTGTCACTTTGAAGTTGATTCTACTTACGTCTGTATTTATCTATGATGTGTTTCAGTTGGGGTCATTGCCGGAGCTGCTGGTGGCGGTGCTGTTTTAGTCATCATCTTTATCATTGTGATAGTAGTTATAATAATAAGGTAGGTTGACCCACATATTATTTTAACTGGAGATTGTCTAACCGTCATGGATTTATTAGTATAAAAACACTACACTATATGACCAAATGATATTTAATGTTGAACATTAGACGATCGGTTTTCGTGTTATACATGTATTGATATTGCTCTTGTTAAAACTCTTATACAATTATTTACTACATGCCCAGACTAATATTTAAAATGTAAATATTACATATAAAGGTAATGATTATTGTTTGTGTACACTAATGTTTGTTTTATATCAGGAAAAAAGGTGCAGATGTGAAGAGGACAGAGGGTAATTTTGCCGTTGACATCCAACCTTACGCTGTCACAACACCCAAATTCTATCACAATGAAGGTGTGGACACAATAACTCACAACTCCCTCTACGAATCGGCCGGACCTCGAGATCCGGATACCAACCATATCGTCACGGAGACCGGTGACGTATACGCACAGGTTCAGAAACCAAACAAGCATACACATTCTGAGACGGAACAGTCGAACCATACAGAACATTCACAGACAACTCCCTCTGGTGACGTCTATGCCGTAGTTAATAAACCAAACAAGCATACACATTCTGAGACGGAACATTCGAACCATACAGAACATTCACAGACAACTCCCTCTGGTGACGTCTATGCCGTAGTTAATAAACCAAAGAAAGGGGCAAATAATACAAAAGACGAATTGCATAACGATGACAATAAACGCCCCTCTCGATATAAAAACCAGGAAGGTTTAATGTACGCCGAGGTGGATGATACAACGTCACGACCACGGTCACGTCCCCCTGTCAGACCAAAGCCTACATCTAACGCTGACAGAGTCATTTACTCTGAGGTTGACACTGGTGTGTAAGTGTTAACCGGATCGAAAATCATTAATATCATGTTGCTGAATAGTCGAATATAATTAGAATGACAAGGTTAAGAAGAACTATGAACTTTACACATACTATCATCCAAACACTTTATAATGATTCATGTGGTATCTGAACTCTAAGTCTAAAGTCTTTATACAAGTCCAAGTGGTAACTTTACTCAGTCTAAACTCTTTATAATAGTCCGTGTTGCACTTTTACACTCTGGGTCTAAACACTTTATAATAATTCGTGTGATAACTTTACTTTGAGTCTAAACACTTCATAATAATAGTCCGTGTTGTAACTTTACTTCGAGTCTAAACACTCTGTTATAATTCGTGTGATAACTTTACTCAGAGTCTAAACACTTCATAATAGTCTGTGATGTAACTTTACTTCGAGTCTAAACACTTTATTATAATTCGTTTGATAACTTTACTCCGAGTCTAAACACGTTATTATAATTCGTGTGGTAACTTTACTCTGGGTATCTTTTAAACACTATATAAAAGTCCGTGTTGTAACTTTACACTCTGAGTCTAAACACTTTATTATGATTCGCGTGGTAACTTTACTCTGGGTATCTTTTAAACACTATATAAAAGTCTATGTTGTAACTTTACACTCTGAGTCTAAACACTTTGTAACAGTTTGTTTGGTATCCTTATTCTGATTCTCAACACTTGATAACAGTTACATGTAATAAGGTAACTTTACTCAGATTATCGTCTAAACACTTTATAACAGTGTTTGTGGTATTAACAATTTAGTACAATTAGCTGAATTTTCGTATATAGGTAGAGATCACTAAAGTAAAACCATATGATCATTTATATGAATATTTGTAAATTTTCTACGTTCGTCATTAATGATATAAATCTCGGACACTATTTGGTCACCAGTCATAAACTGGCGTTGTACTGTTAATGTTGTAAGATTCTCGTAATAATAAAGCAGGGTACTAGATGTGATCATTGACTGATAGTTCACAGAGGGCACTCATGGGAACAGGAAACGAGGAATAATACAGACACGTGATTGGGTTTTTTAATGATTGCCATTTTAGCTATCTGGCATGTGAGGCGTGTACCGAGGTCATGGCCTCACCTCGCCTTTTCATAACAGAGCAGGTTTGTATCAAATCCCGTCAGTGATGAACAGACATATTTCTATCTTGTTGATATTTGACCAGATATATTTATATAAAGCTTATAGCTAGGGATATAAAAACAATTACTTTACTTTTGTAGCTTAGAAGTATAATTGTTTCCTTTTGAATTTATTTGCATATGTATATATATATTAACGAAATATATCATAAACAAATAACAGATACCACAAATCAGCTTCTGACTTTGATTGGAGTATTTATTTGACTTAATCAGTAAAATGTTCTATTATCTCCCCTTGACCAAACCTAATTTGAACAATCAAAATGACAGGTATACTCGACAAATTTAGTGTTTTCTCCAGCTAGAGTTTGCACCCTGAAAGTTATTTTGTATTGTCTTACTTAATCAATATTTTAAATGTGCGGTTTGTATTGTACGGTTGAGAGGAAATAATGTCCGTGTATGTTTCTTTGTACTTACGTGTGTCTGAACATTCTTATTAATTGTATTAGGTATTTTGTGATTATGCGAATGTGTGTTCGTGCTGTATGTGATGTATGTGTATTTTTGTGAGTAGTGTTTGTGATCATGGGGAGAGTAAACGCGAGTTCGTTTTGTTTGTGTTGTAAGTGGAGCTGATGTTTTATCAATGAAAAGTAATAAAAGATAACATTATCAAACTAAGATTATAATGTGAGCTTGTATTTTTACGTGACATTTTCCATGAAACTGTAGCACTGAAAAACAATCTCACTATATGAACAGTAATTATATTTACCATGGTTAAGTATCGTGGAATAAGTTGCCTTTAAATAATTGTGTAACTATGTACTGACCAGGATGATTGTTAAAAATAGCCATTGTCCAGTCCTCCTATGCTATGGAAAAGGAAATAACGTTTTTCTCTTTTATTAGTATCAATAAGCTTTTTGTGCTGATATCAAATATATTGACATTGTTTTATAAACGTACTCTTGCCAAACTAAAGCTTTACCATTTTGTGTATATATCGTTTAATGTCTGATTATTTACTGTTTTTACAGGAATAAATATAATTTGAAGCATTATAGTCTGATGTTTATTGTTAAACTATAACAGTTTGCCCTTGTTTTTCAACCCTTTAGTTATTCAAGGAGAGGGGACCATCTATCAAAGAGCGAAAATGGTTTAAAAGGTTTAAAGAGCGGGATTTTGCTTGGGAAATAATATTACTGTCTTACGCGCAGCAGACATAACATACGAGCGTTTAAACGTTCAAAATACAATACACTGAAAAGCTATTGATGAAATGGCATGTACCTTAGTTATTACATGTCTTATGAACATATAACTGGAAAATCTATCAAATTTCTCAACAATGTATTTGTCGATTTTTGTCAACACTTTTGTAGCAGTTGAGATTATATAGCCGTTTCTCACTTTCGATGTCATTTTCATATTCCCCTTTGTTGTTACTGTACTAGGTTTGTTCAGATTAATTTTCAATATATATAAATAAAGACGAAACTCAAAATTTTAAAGTGTAGTTGTATCGTGTCATTGAAGTTGAATGCATGATGTAGTTTGGTTCATGGCGAAACAATCAGACCTTCTGACAAACCTTCGATAAAAGCACCAGTTTACCATATAGCAGAGCATTAGATATTTGGTGTTTGGATGGTTATTTGTCCTCGTCAACGTCACACCCTACAACAAACTATTCAAAGGTCGACTTCTTCGAGAAGTTATGAACATAGGCGGAGGTATTTAGATAAATGATGAACACATCTTCGGACTCGAGCATGTTTTTGTTACTGTTCTTATCATTCACTCAGTTCTGGACTAACGCTTTAAAGGAAAAGTATGTAATTGTCATGAACACTAGACCGAAAAAAAAAGTTATTTCGTTCATAACGAGCGAGTCACCTATTTTAACACCCAGTGCACTTAACATAGTTATATAAATTTAAAGCAATTGAAACAGGCAAAGTGCAGTAATGATATCTGTATATTGATCAAAAACTCTACCACGATGGTGGATTTTTTTAAACAGAAAATATGTATATTATAAATGTACCTTTTTTGGCGCACTCGTTTTTTAACGCTTTACCGAATTTTAACGGATAAGCGCATTTAAGAGTTTGCGCTCCAACAAAAGATTCAGTAGAAAGCAGTTTGGTGGATCAGTCATTATTTATTGCACTATTTCAAGCGCGCAAATGTTAAAATAAGATTACCACTTATATATATATGTACTTTTACAGTATCAGACGTAGGCTTAATTAAAAAACGGTTGTCGTAGACATTCCCTTCCACATTATCTAAGTCAATTATGATCTACTGCAACCAATGTTTGCGCTTTTGAAATGTTTGTCATGTATCTCAAGCCGAACTCAGAGTCACTACATCAGCCAGGCGATATCTGATATTAACAGTTTCACTTTTGGCTAATCTGGCCATTGGCCATCGTTATGTAAGGTCATTTTGGTGTATGGTATTGTTCCATGTAATTTGTCCAATCGCGTAAACACAATGTTTATGAGTTGTAACTTATAAGTTATTTCTGATACAAACTAAAAATATTAATCACACAATTTGTACATTTGTGATACAAACCTTATCGAGTTAGAATCTCTTTCCTTAATACGGATGGTCGCGGTTCAGATGTTTCTTTAGTCACCGGACTGACCAGATTTGTTCTTGAAAACAATTCATACGTGTGAAAGAGAATCGACCTCGAGTAAGTAGCATTAGAAATAATAGCTACAAGGCTTTGACAACTTGTTTGTGAAGTGGTTGCTCCTACGTGTTATTTGTATTTATAAGTAGTATTTAGTGGTGATCCTATGTTTCTCTATAACCGTCAAATTTTGTTTCCGTTATGAATGATACATACATATGTTTTGCCTAATTTTACCTAAACAATAACATAGACGACTGTTTTGTCTGTGTTATCAATGCATACAAGTGGAGGGAATCAAGCAAATGCACATCAGAAATATTTGAAACTGACTGTCCACGTTCTGTGGACGTATGGATATAGCTCCTGTAACAAAATCATGTGCTATACAATAACAATTTCCACCATTAAGAAATTCCGTAATGGTTATTCCAGGATATGTTGAAATACTACCATTGTTCTCACAGCTATATCAATGGCAAAGACGTAAAGACAAAATGTTGTTACGATTGACATTATCATGAAATATTCATTTGAGTTAAATATAAATAGAGGTTTCCCAACAAGTGTTTTATGGTTATCATGTTGATGTATCTCGAGTTAGTTATTTTTTGAATTATTAAGACACGAGCTTTACCGAATGTCATCATTTACAATGTGAAAACGACCTAACGAGAGTTAGATAACCATGATAACCAACCATCACGTGTTTGGATACCTTTATCTCCCACAACGTGCAGATGTTAGATCTAGGAAACCATACATTTCTTTTGGGAATACAATATTGACCATGAACTGTGACGTCATAATGGAGGACAGCGTCTCAAAGGATTGTTACCTGGCGTTATCATTAGAGGACTGACCAATGAAACGATGTTTAGAGTGAAAAATGTTTGCAAACTCCGAGCGGGTTTTCAATGAGTCGGGAGTAAGGAAATCTACAGTGGTTGTAGAAGAAATATTAAGAAAAACATGTCTGAAAGGGTAAGCTGTACCCTAATTAAATTCAACGTATTGTGTGTTAACCATGCACTGATAGGGCTGTTGTTCGGTACATTTACTCCAGGTTGATCCACGGCGAGGTCTTTTCATAAAGGAGTAGCTCATAGCACAGGAGTAAAACCATGTAGCACAGGAGTAAAACCATGTAGCACAGGAGTAAACCACACAGCACAGGAGTAAACCACATAGCACAGGAGTAAACCATGTAGCACATGAGTAAACCACACAGCACAGGAGTAAACCACATAGCACAGGAGTAAACCATGTAGCACATGAGTAAACCACACAGCACAGGAGTAAACCACATAGCACAGGAGTAAACCATGTAGCACATGAGTAAACCACACAGCACAGGAGTAAACCACATAGCACAGGAGTAAACCACATAGCACGTGTTACCGGCTCGTCTCCATTTACTTTTCATATATATATGAATCTGTGAATATTAAACAGTTTTGATTGTTAATGGCGTATTTTAACAAACGATCTCGGTAACAACTACATAAACCATTTAGACTTTTTAAGTACAATTATTTCTGAACTGTTGTCTTCCAAGCTAACACAGATTGGGACCTTATAGTTACTGGTCAAATCACACACCAATCATTAAAACATTTTCTATCAATTCCAAAAATCATTTCTGTAGATCATCATCATCATCATCATCATCATCATCATCATCATCATCATCATCATCATCATCATCATCATCAACAACCAACAACAACAACAACAACAAATAAGTAGCAGATACAGATATATTATTTTCGAAAAAACCCATATTTCAGTGAAATTAATATGGTAAGCAACTTCTGATTTTCAAATCTCCTGGATATATTACGTACAGAGTTACGAGAATGTAGCATCCTGTCCTTTACTGAGACGTGGCTTCACGAATCAGATAATGATATCTCTTTAAACATTCCTAGTTATCACAGCCCTATATGTTTTTATCGAAATGATAGAGTAGGGGGAGGGATTTCAGTGTACGTATCCAATGAATTCATTACTAAAACTCGAAATGATCTTAACTTAACGTGGATGGTGTTGAAACTGTTTGGATTTAAATTTCTTTTAAAAAGTCCTTTTTTTTTTGGAACATTTTACAGACCTCTAAATTCAAATGTCCAACTCTGGAATAAAATTGAGCAATCAATTGATCGATCTTTTAACACAGGAGTTTTCGATATCGTTATAACAGGAGATTTCAATGTAAACCTACTTCAAAATCATCCTCACAAGGGTCACTTATGTAACATAATCGATACATACAACCTAACACAATTAGTGGACGAATGTACCCATTTTACTGAAAATACTTCCTCTCTGCTAGATCTCATTAGATATCAGCAACCCTTCAATATTAAATCAAACATTTGTTGGTGAATCGTTCCTAGACAAACCATTACGATATCACTGTCCTGTATTTGGAATTTTTAATTTTACCAAAACTACAGCTAAATCCTTCAATCGTAAGGTATGGCTGTACAAGCACGCTGATTTTGAAAAGTATAAAACGATGGTAATGAATACGGACAGACATATTAGAGAGAATTTCCCATGTCTGTATTCCAAACAAAACTAATGTGGTTAAAAGTAGAGATCTCTACCTTGGATGTGTCACGACATCAAAAAGTTGATTTCAAAACGTAAAAAATAAAATAAAAGGGCAAAACAGACTAATAGAGATTGTGACCTGTTAGAGTTTAGACATATACGCAGTAAGTGTGTCAACCTAATTAGGTAGTCCAAAGACAAGTATCTCATCAAACTGTCGTTAGAACTATCTGTCCCAAATCGTTCCAAGTCATGGTGGAAAGTTTTTAACAAATGTCTTGCCATGTCTCAATTTCCATCGTCATGGAAAAGAGCTAACGTCATACCTGTTCATAAAAAAGGAAAACAAGATGACGTCAAGAATTATCGTCCCATATCTCTAATAAGTGTCTTAAGAAAGCATTTGAACGCTGCATATTTAAATATTTGTACAATTTTCTTCGTCAAAATAGCCTTATTACTAGCTGTCAATCAGGTTTCACACCCAGTGACTCTACTATAAACCAATTACTTAGTATATCTAACGACTTTGGTAAAGCTCTAGACTCAGGCAAAGAAATTCGAGCAGTATTCTATGATATCAGCAAGGCTTTCGACCGTGTCTGGCATCAAGGCCTTCTTTTCAAAATTTTCAAACTTGGCACATGTGGAAAGTTATAAACCTGGTTTGAAGATTATCTTCTTGACAGAAAACAAAGAGTTAATTTAAATAATTGCAGTTCTAATTGGGCATCTATTAATGCCGGGGTATACCAAGGCTCTATCATTGGACCTCTGCTCTTCTTGGTGTACATTAATGCTATTGTGTATGATATAATTAGATGTTATTATATGACCATTTGGATATCATATCCCAAAATGGTCATATTATAAACTTTTTATCATATGTTCAAGTAACAAAAAATCAAGTCAACAGGAAAAACAATTAGATAATTTAATCAACAATGTCAACTGAAACAGATTATTACAAGAGGATATTCAGTCAATTCTGAATAAATATCGTTTCAAATCGCTGCTGTCAGTAATTATTAGTCCGACTACTACTATAGTATTCATTGCAGATGAAACGCCATGATTTATTCACTATCCGAGTCCTTTATGACATTCACTCTCCTTTTCTTTAAAGGAGTAGGCCAGGGTTAAAATTGATGTGTAATTGAAAAAAAAAAAAACTGACAGCGCAAATCCGGATTTTACTCGAAACGCTTCGGGTGCTTCCCATATCCAATACAGAAGTAGAGGTGTTCCGAATAGGGGTGCATTACGAGAATTGTTATCGCATATGGGGGG